TCGCGCTGCTGAGGGAGGCAGTGGGGACACTTCCCCAAACGTGGCAGCACAGGGCAACCCCCCACACCAAAAGCAGCGATCAACGAGCTGATCTGCTCAAACGGCGTCAAGTAAAAAGGACGCGCAGCTCTTTCAGCCACACTTTCTGGATAGGGGCACTCATGAGCTGAGAAAGGCCCGTTCCCCAGATGCCACCTCCCCAACGTTCACCAACTTACCGTTGCTTCTCTGCTTAAAAAGAAGTACTGAGGCAGGAGGGAAAGTGATAGGAGCATAAACAGTCACCACGAGAGCAGCATCGGGCCGCAGAAAACGCTCCAGCTTGTGCTTGTCAGCTAGGGCAGAAGAGCAGTGACCAAGCTCAGTCCAGAAGCAGTCACCAGAGCTCTGGAAAACCCTCATCAACCCCATCCGTGGTTCCTGCTCATGTTGGCAGGTGGGCTCTGTTCTGCAGGGAAACCAGGCACACGCACCCCTCCCCAGCGGGGCAGGGCACCTGGGGACCACAGACCCCTGTGCAGAGTCTGCTACTGCCCTGCCTGGGCCACAGAGCCCTCCAGTCCCCCGCTGCTTAATGCCTCCTCTGGAAGCCTCAGAGCCCAAGGGTGCGACTTCACAAGGGTCCTTCAGACAGGTTCAGACACATGGCTAAAACATCACAGGCTTCCTGCCCTGGCAACCCCAGCCCCTTTTCCAAGCACCCCCGAGATTCCCACACAGGCCCCTCACAAACCTGACGTGTGCTGGGAAAACAGGGGAGAAGCTCGGAAGCGTCGGAACCCGCAGTGAAAGATCAGCTCCTCCTTTGCCTTCACCGGCTCGTTGTTGCTCGGATGCCGCCGCACCAGGAAATTCAGCACTGACATCTGCGGGAGACGCAGCGGCGTGAGCGGCCAGCGGGGGAGCAGAGAGCAGCCGACATCGCAGCAGGGACAGGCGCCCTTGACAGGGGGCTTTGCCACGAGCTCCACACCAGCTCGGCCACATCACTCACCTTCTGCTCGTGAGGAAGCAGCGTGAACAGGACGAGCGGCCGCCCGTCCCTGAAGCTCTCCATCACCGAGACAGGCACGTTGCAGACGTGAAGCGTAACGTACCAGCCCACCTGCCAAGAGAGGATCAGTTAGGAATATCTCTTTCAAAAGGAAAGGT